TCGATCCTCGACATTCGCGTAACATCATATCCGTTCACTTCTAACAATTGGTCCCCTGCCTTCAAGGCACCTGTCTTTTCGGCAGCACCTCCTGAATTCCAATAAATATTATTTCAAAACTTACCCATCAACGAGAAAAGAAAAATGAAAAAAAAAACAGGAAATATACCGGTAAATATTTTCTTGATCATTAACGGTCTGTTCCCAAGGGGGCTGTCTCTACCTCCTTCGAGACTGAATCCCAAACCGGCTCCATCTTTGTACACTGCTACGACCGAGGGCGGACCCCATGCAGTGTCTTCTGCGGCTTCATTCGTCTCGAATCCTTCGATATGAAAAAAAAAACAAACATTCCAAATTTTGACCAATAAGTTAGAAAAAGAAAGGTAGGAAAAGAATAATTTGACGAAAAGTTCAATCACCTTCGATGATAGTTTCGACGCTCGCAGTTCTCGACTTCAATTTACACCCTTCCTCTGTCCTAGCTCTCGAGACAACCAACACAACTTCCGACCTAGGCTGCTTAAGCACCGCTATGCTCTCCCTGTGCGTGAGACCTTGCGTGCTTCTGCCATTTATACTCAGAATCCTGTCGCCCCTCTGCACACGACCGTCCTTGTCGGCGATAGAGTGGGCCAGCACTCGATGCACCGTGATCTCCTTTATCTCACAATCAGCTCCACCGGCCAGAGTGATACCAACGCTGCCAGTTGGATTCTCCTTGTGAAGCAACACCACGATCACGTCGTGAGCACCGCGTGCTTCTTCGAGACTCGCCTCTTCCACCAACTGTGCCAATTCCTGTTGAGATATCAAGCTTGTGCTGCTAGCCAACGAGCTGATACTGCCAAACTGTTCGCTACAGCATCTGTCTGCGTCCATGTCTGCTCCAAGCGTCGAAACGTTCTCGTCTACGCTGCTGTCTAGACTGGGGAATCTGTTGTGAGTGGTTCCCGTGGTCTGATGAGGACTGGCGGGACAGTTCACGTCCATTTTCTCCAGTGCTTTCTTCATATCAGTCACACTGGCGCTTCTTCGGTTCAGGTTCCTCGTGGTTGGGATTTTCGACAGCGGAGACTTGGATTTCTCCACTTCCGGCGTTTCGTCGCCGCTGCTGTCCGCCAACCTCGATTTACCCAACGTCGGTATCTTCGAGAAGCTCTTGTCCTCGCTCCAAGACTCGTTCAACATCGACGAGCTCCTCCTCACGTACTTGCTGTCCCTCGATTCCCAGAGAGACCTGCTCTGGAGAGTGGAAACGACGCTGTTCTTCTCTATTCTCGTCTCGCCAGCTTGACTCCGCGAGATCTTCGCGTCCGCCTTCGCGCTCAGGATGTCCTCCAGGCTCATCTGACTCTTCGAACGTCCGAAACTACCGTCGTCCACGTGTATCGCCGATCTGGTTCTACTTTTAGTCGTGAGGATCGTCAGGAGATCGTTCTGATCCTCCGGAGATTTCTTGGCTGGTATACTCGGAGCGTTTCTCTGCTTCGAGACGTCCAAGATTCCAGATTCGTTGTCGTTCCCTACGTTTCTACTCGCCGGAGACAGTTCCATCGAGTGAAGTTCCTGCTGTTCCTCGATTATGGCTGTTCTGTTGTTCTTCAAGTTGTTCCTTACAGGGGTGATATCAACGTCAGCCGATTTCTTCTCTGTTTTGTTAGTCTTTTCTTCAGCGGATCTAGCTAGAGCCTTCGCCTCCGTTCGTACCCACATCTTCAAGTCGTTCGAAGGCTCCATTATTTCGAACGTCGACGATCTTACGTTCCTCTTAGGAGACATCTTCGACTCTTCAGCCTCCTTCTGGAAACCGTCATCTTCGCCGTAAGCGTCTGTTACCTCGATGTACGCAATTTTCACGTCCTGCGCGTTAGAGACGTTATCCTTAACTCGTCCTCTCTGATACGAGTCGTCGCCGTTCTCAGCTAGCGTCGATCGACAGTCTTCCTCCGGGAACTTCCTCTGGATCAAAGGTGATCCGTTCAGATCTCTTCCGCTTCTACACCTGGCACTTGCAAGAATGTTCTTACGATTAATAGCCTCCACGCTCTGCGGCTTGAGCACTCTTCTGGACAGAGACTCCGCGCTAGCTTGGGAACCGGAAGTGAGGGTCGAAGAGGTGCTGCAGTTGGTATCGGTGCTGTTCGATCGTTTCAGCTGTCTCTGAGGTATCTGAGAGTTCCTCGAGCTAGACTCTGTCGTCGGTGATCTGAGATCCGAGCTGCTGCTGCTCGACGAAGATCTCTCCGAGGTGAACGTCCTCTCTCCGAGCATGTTCGATCTACCGCCGAAGTCGGAGTTCGATTCTCTGTTGTACGTTCTAGTAGGACTATCCATGATCAGAGTTCGCCGCTGATAGTTGGTCTCCGTGGAAAGATAGGATCTCTCGGAGGAAACGGTGGATCTCTCCGAGGGAACCGGCGACATCGGCGGACTGAAGCCTCTGGAGATGCTGCTCTGCGAACTGCTGACAGCGGAATCGTTGTCCGAATCGTCGTAGTCCATCCTCGTCTTTCTCTGAACCGTTTTCGGTCTGTTGCGCAGTCCTTCCGGTGAACTGGCCGTGGAAGCGAACTCGAAGCTGTAGTCGCTTCTGGTCGGACTGCAGATGCTCTCTAAACTCTTCGGAGGTTCGGAGAGCGTCGGTGTGGTCGCCGCAGAGGGGCAATTTTTCCCGGAATTTATCGTAGAATTGCTCGACGACGAGCCGTACACAGCTAGACTCTTCCTCTTGAAGGCTGGAGAGTACTTGGAGTGTATCTGAGGCGCTGGCATCTTGAAGGAAGTTGTAGCTTTCAGAGGCATGCTGGCTGTGCTAGCGTTGCTCGCTAGAGAACTCTGCGAGCCCCATTTGTCCTGAATATTCGCTTTCGGTAGCTGTTAATTAGACAAGGATTTCGTTAGTTCCAGGTGTGACAATCTCGATAACGCGTGTACGAACGATTCTTACCTGATGCAGCAGTATCGAGTCTCGCGATTTGATTTCAGGAAGATCGACGATAGGCGCGTCGATAGATATGGCTTCCTTCTCAGGAATAACCAACCCCCTTAATTTCGATATCGACCTTCTCCTCTGCTCTATCAGCTGATTCAAGCTGGTTCTTCGGATGTCCTCTGCAGGCCTCTTGAACGTAGACGCCAACGAGTTGGTCCTGGTGATCTGTGGTCCAGCTGAGAGATCGGTCGTGGTCGTGGTTCGTTCCTGGCCGTAGGGAATCGTGCCAGAGAAGCTCGTAGCTCTCGACAAAGCAGTCGGCGCGACAGGTTTGAGAGAAACGTTCGGAGGACTCTGACCGGTAGTCGTCGTCGTCGGGTAATTCTTCACCGGAGACTTAGGCAGCGAGGAATTCTCGAAAGAACTGATCAAAGGTGTAGCAGTTGAAGTGACCGGTTTCTGTGGGACAATGGGAAATGTTTTCGGCGTGTGAATAGTCGGCGAACTGAACGGAGAACTCTGCGTTATACTCGGCGATCGTTGTCTGTACTTCTTTCCAGGATCTACGTTTCTCCCGGAATCCGTTAGATCGAACGAACTCTGCGTCCTGTCCGCGAAGAACGAGCTTCTCTCTTTCTGCCCGGAGCTCTTCTCGTCGCTGCACACGTCCTCCGTAGACTTGTACTTGGACAGCCTCCTGCCGTTACTCGTGGCCGCTGCAACCGTCACCGAATTAGGGAACAGAGGGCCGTCCAAGCTACTCTGCGACGAGAACATGGCGATTTTATCTCGGACCGATCTCTCGGACTTGTCGTCCTGCCTCCACAGAAGTTCACCGTTCAGCGAGAACTTCCTCTGCGTTGGTTCCGCGGCAGAGCTGTTCTTCGTGTACGACGTCGTCGTCGGGCCGATCGCGTCCATCTTAGGCGGCCCTGAGAAATAGGAAGAAACGAAAATTGTAGCAAAGGGGATTTCGGGAGGGGCAAAAATAGAGGTCGAGAAAATACAGAAGGAAAGTTAACGTGCTCTCACCGGTGAGTGGCAATGGCGGAGGCGTGTCCAGTTGATCTTTCTCCGCGTGGTCCTGCTGCACCTCCTCGATCACCGGTACGTCTTTGTGATAGTATCCCGTGATTTCGATCTTCTTCTCCGACACCACGATGTTACCGTTACCTTGATTCCCGTAGCTGGAGTAGTTGGTCACGGACGCGGCCTTTTTAACCAAGTCGTCCGTGATGTAAGGCTTGCTATCGTCCACACGAGCCTCTCTCGCCTCCTGACAAACGTTCTCCACGCTCATCTTGCCGTTTATCTCGATACTAGGCAGACCGATCTTGGTGTTCACCTCCTGGCAGACACTCTCGACGTTGTTTAGAGCAGCCACTCTGTTGTTGTCCGGTAGAACGATCCCTGTCGCTGTTACCACGTTCGATTCGAGCAACTTGTAGCTTTCGTTGTTCATGAACGACTCGTTCTCGTTGCAAACGAGACGACCGTTCGCGATCATCGTCGACGTCCTCGGCGTCGTCGTGTTAGCCGTCACGAAACGGTACTGCTGGCCGTTGCTGCTGCTGCCTCCGCCACCTCCGCCGAACTCTTGATACGCCGCTGGAAACTCGTCCCCGTCCGGGGGCAGGCGCTGACCGCCTCCGCAGTTGTCCATCCTACCATTTACCGTCTCTAAAATCACGCGTCAGAGAGTGTTGGTTATCGCGGAGAATTCTTTGCGAGGCTCGAGGAGTGCTTAAAACAACCTTCAGATTAGAAGATTCTTAGGGTGTTGTGACGTGAGTTTGGTCGTCGAGTACGTTCGTGCCGCGATGCGGTTACAGTCGTGGGGAATTGTGTTTTCAATCTCTTTCGCCAAATGAAACTGTTCGTTGAGACGTGGAGTGTGATTAGTTGGGAAAAGTTGGGAGAGGCGATGGTAGCGAAACGTTTAGGATTCGGTAAGTTGGAAGAAAGTGAGTTTGTTGGGTAAAATGTGCGACGGAAATTGGGCGAATTTGATTGGGAAATTTTCTTACTCCCGTTGTGTGCTTCGGGCGTTGCTGTAATATATTGTTACACTATTTCTCAGAGAGCAAAAATTTCGCAATATCGATTGGATAGGAAATAGTGTTGAAAAATATTTGAACGAAAAACCCAAGTAATTTTATAGTTTCGCCAAAAAGATGGGAAGAAATTAAGAAACGAGAGGGTGACTGCATTCTCTTGTAGTAATTAAAGGTATATTTGAAATATTTATCCAAATCATACGAAATTTGATCACTCTCGACATATTCTCCGGACACTATTCTCCGTCAGATTACCATTTAATTCCTCCTGTCGTGTCCTCAACACGAACCACGCGACCGATCACCCCCACCGTTGACTTGCATCGCTTCTACCTCCCTGCCAATAAGGGTTCGCGAAAGAGGCCTTTTTCTAGGAAAGGCGTTAATTGGTCCTTTTTCCGAATTAGCAGCTACAAAAACATGTATAAAGGTAGCTTTCGCAAGCCCGAAAGCAGAACATGTACGGAGTGTACATATTAAAAAAAACCGAACAACGTAGTTTAACCTAAAACTAAACAACCAATAGGGAAACATCCATCGTGATATCTTCCAACCGAGAAATAAGATCACGGTAACAAACACCTCCATTAGAATACTTCTCAGCGGGCAAAAATTTTGTACGAACAATCGAAGAAATTTGATGGCTTTGCCAAAAAGCTGAGAAGTTGTGGAATGGTAAAGGTATACTTCAAATATTGATCCAAAAGATCTCGTTCCAGTCGGACGAGAGTAAAATTTCGTAAAAAGTGTAGTGTATCGTACATTAATTTTTACAACTGATACCGTAGTAATGGCATCGGACGACCATTGCGCGAGTACCCCCGAACGATCGTCGAAACCTCGAAACTTCGTCTCTACATGCGTTGAACTCACTCGGCAATCCTTGACACGCGATTACGAATTGCGCAACCTCTCATTACGCCTCATTACGAGACAAATGTTAGAAATTTGCGTAGACGTGTACGATCACGTATTACACGTACGTTCGTTGACCGTGTCGATTCTTCAAGAATTTTCACATCAGCTCGAAGGCAAATTCGCGCGTAAAAGTTTCGTCCACGGGATCGCGATTCACGCTCCCGTGCACCCGCCGAGGAGATCGGTGCCGCAACACGTCGCTCGTTCGATCCGCACGCGTCGTTGATTCCGCGAACGGGAACGTCGATCCGTTGGAGCATTTCAAATGCGCAAGATTCCAAAGAGGGGAATGTTTAATAAAATCGTAGAGCTACCGGTTAAGAGGGGGACGATAAGGGATTCAGAAACGTGCCAGCGGCGTTACATCGACGGTGGATATTTTTTAAACATCCGTTCCTCGTTTATCGGTTCCCGAGAACGAACACGCCGCGGTTGGAATTTTAATCTACGCGATTCGGATCTACCTATCGATATACTATAGGTGTATATATTCGTAGCTGTTATGATTTGCGTTCGAACGTGTTTAGAGTTTTAACCACTCTTTACGTTCGCGTTTCGAAGGTCGTCCGATAGGAGAATCCGGAAGAAATGTCGTGCAAGTTGCTAATAGATTATGTTAAACACCTTTTGCGATACTGAAATGTTTTCCTTTTTCTTCTATCTGAAAATACTCCACGGTGACATAGTTTTTTTTTAACCCTTTCACTGCGACAGGTTTCAATACGTAACGCTTGTGGCTGCTAAATATTCTGTTTTATCGTTTAAAAATTTTTTAAAAATTTAAGAATTTGTCATTTTGTGAAATTAAGGTGGCAGTGTGCGAAGAGCAAAATTTTAGGATTAAACTAAGGAGAAATTCTACAAAAAATCGTTGACAATACGGAGCTAGAAAATTTTCAAAGCGTCTGCAGGCGCGAATAACCGTGAAAGGGTTAAAAAATTGATGATTCCGTTAAGTTAAGGTGACGGCGCGCAAATGATAAAAATTTAGGATTAAACTAACGTAATAGTGCTAGATTAAACTAGGGTGAAATTGTGCGAGAAGTCGCTGACAGCGCAGAGTTAGAAAATTTTCAAAGCGCTCATAGACGCGAACAGCAGTGAAAGGGTTAAGAAATTTAAGATTTCGTTAAATTAAGGTGGTAGTGCGCATATAGAAAAAATTAGGGATCAAATTAAGGTGAAATTGTGCAAAAGGTCGCTGACAATATAGAGTCAGAAAATTTTCAAAGCGCTTAATAACGTATTGCCAGCAACTTTCCATAGCGTCTGTAGACGCGAACAGCAGCGAAAGGGTTAAAGATTTCCCTAAACTAAGACAGTAGTGCGCGAATGGCAAAAACTTACGATATCAAATCAACCTAAACCTAGAGCGAGAAAATTTTCAAATCGCCTTAGACACGTCGTGTGGAAATTTTCAATGCGCCTTCGAACGCGAGCAGCGGTGAAGGGGTTAGAAATATTTGTTTCTAAAACAATTCCGATACCGTGAAGTGCGATGTTCCTTGGTGAAATGTTAAACGGACGAGTCGAAAGCCAAGGACGACGTGGATATCCGTGAAGGAAGCTGAAGAGGTAGCTGGTTACTTTAGCGGTTTACGCAACCGGGCGTTACTTTCACGCGCGATCGTTCTACATAGCCGAGTGAATCGCGTGCACGGACGGGTCCGCGAGCGGATCCGCGGTTTCCAACCTGATCACTCCGATCCAAGGATTTCTACATTCTAACGCACGCGCGCACCCACTGATAAACCGTGCGTGCACGCGTGTTATCTGCGCTCGAACGGGCGTGTCGGGCTCGGGATCGCGGAAAATATCCGTCGGGAGTGTTGAAGCAAAATGGTTTATGAGTACTGCATGGAAAAATCGACATCCTAGAATATTGGTAGGTTTATGACACGTCCGATAAGTATGGTTTGGGGATGCCTAACACCCCAGGTATAAAAGTGCACACTGCCACCACGCTCCGTAAGCAGTTCTAATTGTGCGCCCGTCTTGCTTGAACATCTGCTAAAATATAATTATTTACCTTACTCCACACGAGTTATTTATTTAATATAACCCCTCAACAGGGAGGAATATTTTCAAACGCTCCCGTAAAAAGTCTCACCGACGACGTTCTTTCGTAATTGCAACTTTCGTTGGCCGCTTTCACGCGAGACGAAACGAGTTAATTCGTGAAACTTGCAAATGAAAAGATTTGCAAACGGTAAGTGAAACTTGGAACGACGTCCTTTCGCGATTACCGCTTTGATTCACCGCTTTAACGCGAAACGAAAGGAGCAACTCCTACTAGCTGGTCCTCCGGTTACGTAAACTGAAACTCGTAAATGAAAAGGCCCGGAGTTACGACGGTAAGTGGAACTCGGACGTATCGATACGGATTGAAAGTAAACTTGATTACAAAGTGCAACCTGGTTTCTCTGTAATCACCGGTGTAATTCTTGCACGAGTGTAACTCTGCGCGGTAAATGGTACGCGTTAACACGGGAAACGGAAACGGGGAGAGCAGAACGGTCGGGAGGAAAAGTTTCACGGTTAGATCGTGCTCGCGTGCCGCGTTTTCCGCCCGAAGCGGTGGACTGTTGCACGCCGCTAATAAACCGTGTCCCGCTAACTTCTGATTAACATTCCTGGCCAGTTACCTCGTTCGATGGAACTAATCGGCGATACACGTGCGACCGGCTCTGTTCCTCGCTCGGATAACGCGATACGATGCACCACGTGCCATCGCGAATTCTATTCACCGGCTGTAGATCGAGGTTTGGTTAGGTTTTTGCTCGGTCTTATTATGCAATTCGTAGACCAACTGTTTCTGCCACCGTCGTTCTCGTTCTTGGAAAAGAAACGGTTTTCTACGAGATCAGTACGAGAGAAGAATTTCTACCTTTACTTCGGACATGAATTTTAAGATACGGTGGGTTTAAAGGACGGATAACAGCGATGAGATTCAGGGAGCGTCACGGCTAGGGGCGTAGAGTCCCCCCGTGGCAATCCTCAGGTCCCGGGTTCGATTCAAGTTTTTTCTCGATTAACACGTCGAATGCTGGACCAATTCTTTGTCCACGGTGCCATAAATAATATGTGAATAGTTGGAAATAAAACTGAAAATTTGACAAATACTACCGTTCGTTCGAATTAAATGCCTTTACTAATGTTGAGACCGCCGGTCACCCTCACGGCATTCAACGTGTTAATTCTCGATAATCTAGCGAGGAAGAGAATGCGAAGCCTCTTTGGGTCACTGATTTAATTTGAAACTTTGCATATTGGTCACCCTGTTTACGAAATTACAGCGGCAGATAGTTGTTCAGATATTTGTAATTAAAGTTTCATCGCTATAAGAAACTCCTCTGCAAGAATAATCGATTTCATTGAACAAAGGGAACAGAGAAGAGATTTACACACGTTAAATTCGAGTCAGGTTTGCTGGATGTTTCAATTAAAACCGTCGCGTTCCAACGTATTCCAGCGTGCGATAGGCACTCGTGGACGAGCAACGTACGAACGTACAATGAACGCTCTCGGCATCCCCGATATCGGTACAAATATGGTGCGATCGCTGGGACACATACGCACTGCATCTCTCCCTGCGTCTCTCTGGTGTACGCGCGTATAGCCGATTAGTTTCATCCGGCGGCGTCCGCCTGGGAATTTTAATCGGACGTCAGACACACACGCGCACTCGTCTTTGCGTTTTCAAGT